CAGCAGACTTTTGTGGACTAACCTGGAAAAATTAACAATCACTGAAAGCATTGTTTTTGTAGGAAAGTTTGGTGTTTGAAACACTTAGGAGTTTTGCTGTTATAGACATTCTGTATACATACACCTAACTTTATCAACTGAAACTTTTAGCCATAGCTTCTGTACATGTAATAAAATGGTAATGGAAGATTATAAAGTACTATATGAATAATAAGTAAGATTAAATTTCATTAAGTCTGGTTTTGATACTGTGTTTTTTCAAATTTGTATTTTAATCCTCAGGACAGCCTCAAAAGTTTACTTTCTAACTAGAAATATTATTTTCTCAAATTAAATAAGAATACTTAGTTATTAAGAGAACTAAAAACATGTAAATATTATATATATTTTCCCGAAGCATATAAGTTGAAGGACCAGATCAACCATTCAGTCCCAATATATTTGAGAAATGAAAGACAGGTGAGGTTAAATGACAGATTTAGGTCACAATGCTCATTGGTTACAGAGGCATGACTAGAACCCAGGCCTCCTAATTCTAAGTTGTTCTATCTTAGGGGGTAAAAGTGAGGTCCAGACATTTCATTGTGATTCTGATGCCAGAATCATCCACTTGAGGTCACCTATCTGTACCAAATCAAAAGGTCTTTTGTTTAGCTAATTAATGCAGAGATATAGGTTGAAGGCTCAATACATATTTGTAAACAATGAGGATCAGATTAAACACAAGCATTTTTAAATTCTAAAGACATTTTTCATTCTACATAAGATTTTTAAGATGAATAATCAGTCGTGAGTTATGATTTAAGCTCAAAATAAATACCGACTGTTTGAGGGGTTGCACAGTTCTTGTTTCTTTTTTCCAGAGTTTATTGATATTTTTTAATATTTACCTAGTTCTGTATTCAAAATATATTGTACAGTATTGTAGCTTCTATTTAATAAGTAGAAACTTGTTTTATCTGACAATATATACCATGGTAAGAATGATGGTACTTAGACTGTATTACACTCTGAGTTGCTTTCCTTTGCAGCACCAGGTCACAAACATGTTCCTGGCTGGGTGTGGATTGTGGTGGGCATCCTCAACTTCGTTGCCTACACTCTAGGTAAGAAATTGGCAAATACCCTCCTTAGTCAGTGGCTGGTGAATCTGTCAGCAAAGATAGTCAACCACTAAGTTAACTTTTTCTCCTATGCTTACTTCATTTTAACTAGGGTTTATTAATATCCTGTTCAATTTAATAAATATGTTTTTGAGTTTCTCTGTGAAAAAGAATTGTTGTTCATTGCTAGGGATTTAAAGGGTAAGATAGGAGTTGGCAAGCTATCACTTGTGGGCCAAACTGGCCTGTTGCCGGTTTTTGTAAGTACATTTTTATTGGAACACAGCTGTGTTCATTCCTTTACATGTTGTCTATGGCTGCAATCTTGCAACAAAGGCAGAGTTGAGTAGTTGCCAACAGAGACTGTATGGCCCAGAATGTCTAAACTATGTCCTAGCTGGCTCTTTACAAAAAATATTTGCCAGTTTACAGAATAAGACATTATTTTTGCCTTAAGTTTGGGAAGCAGTGCTGACATACCAAATGACTGCGGAATACTGAGAGGTCCTATGTAGAGCACAGTGGGAGAACAAATAGGCCAGTGGTCAGTTCTTATTTGGGGAAAGGAGTGGTCAGGGAAGTCTGCTGTACTAGGCTTCCCTGTCCGCCTAGTCTGTTCCGCCAAGAATGCTTTTCATTGGATCATCTTGAATGGCTTGTCCTGAATTCTCTTAATATCCTTTCCTGCTTTATTTTTCTCCGTAGCATTTAAAATCATATGACCTGGTAGCCATTTACTTGCCGACCTGTTTGTTGTCTGTCTGCTCCAAAATATGTTTCTTGAGGAGGATGGTACTTTGTTTTCACTGCTGTGTTCCCAGAGTTTAGAACATAGTAGGCACTGAGTAGATAGTTTTTAAATGCTTGTGAAGTAGCAGACCCTGACTTCAAGTTGCTTAGACCTCTTCGGATAAAAAGGCCTTACCCATAAAACCAGTATAATCGGGTACATAATTATGGTGGATGACCAGAGCTGCCAGAGTTTGGGGAACGGAGAAAGTGAAGTCTAGAAGAATTAAGAAAAAAGCTTACTTACATATTTAGGTAGAGGATTCCAGACATCAAGTTATTCAAGATGAGAAGGTTTTAAAATTCTGCTACGTGGTTGGCCAGGACTGCAGGAGGAGTTGGCCTACTTCTAGGAAAGGTGAAGCTGGCCTGTGGCCTCTAACCCTCTAACTTCTAACATTTAGCATTTCATAAAGAGCCTTGTGATATATTATATAATCTACCTGTCTCAGGTCCACAGCTCTGGCAAAAATCCTGACCTACCATGATTTGTTGCAAAATGTATCTTGAACTAACCTGAGGCAATTTACAATCTTTTATTCTACTAGTGGGACTATTCTTACATTTTGCTGCAGAAATATTAATGTGTTTGATCACAGCATGCTGCTCTAGGTCCTACTGGATTTCTTGATAATATATAGCAGTGATGGCGAACCTTTTGAGCTCGGTGTGTCAGCATTTTGAAAAACCCTAACTTAACTCTGGTGCCATGTCACATATAGAAATTTTTTGATATTTGCAGCCATAGTAAAACAAAAACTTAAATTTTTGATATTTTATATACTTAAATGCCATTTAACAAAAGAAAAATCAACCAAAAAAATGAGTTCGCATGTCACCTCTGACATGCGTGTCATAGGTTCGCCATCACTGATACATAACATATTCCCTGAGTTACCTTTCTTAAAAAAACCCCCACTCTGAAGCATATTGAGACCTTAGACTTGTGGAGCTAGAATGGGTTCAGTGAGAAGATGCACAAAACCTAATTAGTGTGTAATTCATGAATTCAGTATTTATTATAACTCATAGGAATTGCACTGAAAATAGGAAAATAAGCCAGCAAATAATGAGAAAAGTCTTAGGAAATATTTTAGCTACTTAAGGGCATTAAGACCTTATATAAGAGAGAACTGCAGTCTTTGGGCAGGAGTTTGGCATTCATCCTTAATATATTCCTTCAATATTTTTGAAAGCCTTCTTTGTCACAAACTGAGCTGGGCACTGGGGTAATACTGTGGTGAGCAAGAAACGCGATACAGTAATTATAAGGAATTTCTAATTCTCTAAATAGGAATCTTTACAGTTAGCCTAATTCTAGTGCACTTAGTTATCAAAACTGTTTCTTTTGAAAATTTTTTATAATTCAGAATTTTCTTTTTTAACTAGATTTTACCATTCTCTCCCTCTCCCTCTCCCTCTCCCTCCTTCCCTTCTTTCCTTCCTTTCCCCCCTTCTTTCTATGTCCTCCTTCATTTCCTCACCCCCAAGTTTCCTCTGTTTCTGCCCTTAAATGAAAGTGCTCTATTATACTTTATCCTTAACTTTCTTCTGATATTCTGGGTAATCCCGATTCTTAACACTGTTGAGATGACTCTTTTGTTTATAGCTAGCTGTTATGTATCTTGAGTTACTAATAATAAGTGCCCTTGGGTTGAATTGCTTGACATTACCGTGTGGATACCCTGCTAGCACTTCAGTTTCAGCCTCTGAAATTGCACTCCGCATCTTTTCTATCATTCCTGTTCCTTCTACCGACTTCCTTGTTTCACTTAACACCTCCACTGCAGTGTTACCCAGACTGGGACCTTCGGAGATGGTCTTCTTGTCCTTTGGCCTCACCTCTCTTTTTTGGTTACCTTGTCGTTTTTATTTTATATCTCACCAGTCCCCAGCTTTTCATTCATACCGCATTCCATCGCAGTGATAGTTTACTAATTGTTCCTCTTCCAGCTTGTCATTCACACTGATGTCAGGGGAATCTTCCGGAAACACTTCATTGACTTCACCCTTGTCACTCCCCTGCTCACATACTTTTCGTAGCCCTTCCTCCTCCCTAAAACTTTTAAATTGGCCCAAATCTCCCTTTTAGCCTCTGTGTACCGCCCTCTTCACATACTACTTTCTAGTCAGACTAAACTGCTTGGCTTTCTCAGAACAGGCATGTGCTTTTCCGTCCCGGTGTTTTTGCCGGTAGCACTCCCTCCTCTTGAAACGGCATACTCCTTTATCTCTTGTCTACTGAAACCCAACTCATTCTGTATGTCCCCACTCAGATTTCATCCTGTCTTCCAAGCCATTCTAGAGGTCTTACCTGAAGAGAACCTGTCCCTTTTCTGTATGTTCTGTGGTGCGATACACTGCCTTTAATGACCAGTTTTTTCTCCTTTCTCAATTGTAAACATAAACGTAGTTTATTCTAAGATTCTTGTAATCCTTACAAAATTGAGAATAGTGCAGTGCATAGGTTCTATACATCCTTACATTTACTGAAACTTAGTATGTGCATAGCTTTTTTTTCTGAAAGCACTTACAATTGTGGAGGCGGTAGCGCTGTGAAGAAGTGACTGTGCTAACAAACAAGATGAAATGGGTGCTGTAACTGAAGTACAGAGTGTTTCTGGACCCTAGAGCAAGGAGTGGTTAGATGAGTTATAATGAGTAACTGCTGAATGTTGTCTGGAGGCTTGGGAATGTGTGGCTAGTGGAGCAATTCCGTTGTTAGGCAGATTTGGAGAACGTCAGAGCTAGAATGCTTCCTCCTCTAAAACTGACACCGTTCAGTGTGATACAACATTTTAATTTTAATATTTATCTATTAAAAATATTTATTGTTGAAAGTATTACAACACCCTCCCCTGCCTTTCCTCTGAGGTTTGATTAAACTTAGAGAAATTACAATTAAAATTTCTATTTTATTTGTGAAATCTTTGAGTTATAGGAATTAAAGGTTAGATTTTTATAGTACTGGCTGGTAGCTGTATGTTAATTAGTTAACATTCCTGTGATATGCTGATTTTTTAATACAGTTTATTACAGAAGTCTTTCTCCATCCTAGTAAGATTTGACCTTCTCCTGTGGTAATGTGTTTTGTTGCAGATGGTGTGGATGGAAAGCAAGCCCGCAGAACCAATTCCAGCACCCCGTTAGGGGAGCTTTTTGACCATGGCCTAGACAGTTGGTCATGTGTTTACTTTGTTGTCACTGTGTATTCCATCTTTGGACGAGGACCTTCTGGTGTCAGTGTTTTTGTTCTTTACCTGCTGCTATGGGTTGTTTTGTTTTCTTTCATCCTGTCCCACTGGGAAAAGTATAACACAGGAGTTCTTTTCCTGCCGTGGGGATACGACATTAGCCAGGTGGTAAGTATGGGTTTTCACTGAAATTTTCAATATTGCATCAATTGGGGGGGGGGGGGAGTTCTTATCATTCCTTTCTATTGCCCTTACGCTTTTTAAAAAAAATTAGAACTGATGTGTGCTTTTTAAAAAATCATTTTATATTATTTTTAATTTATTTATGGAGAATTTTAAACATATTCAAAAGTCAAGAGGATAGTAGAATGAACCCTTATTTATGTACCTGTTACATAGCTTCAGCAGTTATCAATACGTGGTCAATCTAGTTTCATGTATACCCTATCTCCCCTCACCCCCTGCTCAATTATTTTAAAGGAAATTCCTGAAATTATATGATAAATATTTTACTATTAATCTCTTAATGGTTAGAGTTGTTTATTTATTTATTTTTATCCTTACCTGAGAATATTTTTTTTGTGTGTGTGTTTTTAATTGATTTAAGAGAAAGGAAGGGAGAGAGAGAGAAACATCCCTGTCAGAGAGAAACATCGATCTGTTGCCTCCTGTATGCACTCCGACTCCAACTCTCAACCAAGGTATGTACCCTGACTGGGAATCAAGCCTGCCACCTTTTTGTGTAAGGGATGATACTCTAACCATCCGAGCCACCTGACCGTGGCGGCCAGAGCTCTCTTTGAAAAACATAAACACAGTTGGTTAGGTGTCATCCGTACACCGAAAGGTTGCTGGTTGATTCCTGGCCAGGGCACACGCCTGGGTTGTGGGCTCAGTCCCGGGGGGGGGGGAGTATACAGGAGGTAGCCAATTGATGTTTCACTCTCACCTTGATGTTCCTCTCCCTCTCCCTGCCTCTCTATAAAAAAAATCAAAACATTGTAAAAACTAAACAAACGAAACAAATGCAATGCCATTATTACATAAAAAATGAACAGTTGGTCTTAAGTGAATAAGCTTCCATTTTAACTGTTGATTTTGTAAAAGTAAAAAGAAAAGATATGTACATATTTATTGGCTTTTTCTTCTTGTCACCCACTTTTCAGTGAGTAGCACGATTTGTTTTTTCTTACTTCATAGGCTTGCTATTACCTCTCCCTGCCTTGGAATCATGCTCTTTGTGTTGCCATTTTGCCCATTTGCACCTAAGGCTCCGGTAAAGAGCCAGAAGTTGGAATGTTTTTGAAGAAGAAAGTGGGCAAATTGGATCATCTTATGGCCTACCCAGCTTATGAGGTGCCTTAAGGTGTTCCAAGTGATGGCCAGTTGCTTGCATTGTTTAGAAGTTATTTTATGGCATTGTTGGCTGAAAAACATATTTTTAGAGGCAAGAAGACTTGCCACAATATCAAATTTAAGCATAGTTCTTGCTTTTGCTAAAACTGTTTGACTAGTTTTATGCTGCATAAAGCATCATTGATTCCCTGATCTTTCCAGCTGTTAATGCCTCTGTATGCTTTTTGTCTGCATTTTCCTTCCAGACTATTTCTTTTGTCTACATAGTGACTGCGATTGTGGGAGTTGAGGCCTGGTATGAACCTTTCCTGTTTAATTTCTTATATAGAGACCTATTCACTACAATGATTATTGGTAAGAAGCCCCATGTTGAAGCCTGTTTTAACATCACTTTGTTATCAAAGCTAGTGTTTGATTATAACAAGCAGCAACACCCTTCCCCCTTCTCGACAGTCCTATAACCCTATAGGATTTCAGCCTAATCATTAAGGAAAAATAAGGTTTCTTTGTGTATCTTTTTGTTGTTGTTGCTCAGCATCAAGCTGTTCTTGAGGAGAAAATACCAAAATAGATCACACAAACTTATAAACGATTTAAAGTAATCTAGGTTGTATTGGAGGATGCACATGTAGGTGACATTTGGTACAGATATTCTACTTATCTTAAATTTGATTATTAGTTTGTAGGAAAAAGAATAGAGATTACTTTATAATACATCCACTCCAAGAATTGGGCCTCTGTTTATCTCGGGTATCCTCCTCATGCTACTGAATGCGAGGTAAAGGTTTTGGCCATGAAAATGTTTCCCTTTTGATTTAGCTGAAGGGGATTTCTACAGGACGATTGAGTTAAGGGAGAGTGTCTCTAGGGCAAGAGGCAAAAAGCAGATGAATCTGGATTAGTTGGGGCATCGGGAGTAGCACTAAAGACCTTTGTAGAAGTAAAAAAAGCTTACTTATTGGCTATTGCTGTTTCCTTATCTAAAAAACAACCCTGTCTCCGTATTGATGAACCTTGGTAATGGAAGGGGAAGTAGGTAAGGTGTAGAAACAGCTGAGAAGATGGTGCCTTAGGCATTGGCTTTCAGAAAAAGAGTGGTTTGGGCCCTTTTCATGGCTCTGAACCATAGATATTTTAGGAACCCTGCTGTAATCTGCCAAATGTTCACCTTTGGGTAACTACATAAACTGTGATTACCATCCCTTGACAAGGCTAACTATTTTTCATCTCCCATCATGTAGTGGATCTTTTGATTTAAGCAGCTTATCATATGGCAGTTTGTTGCATTTTACATTTTTTTTAAAATTTTTTTGCATTTTACATTTAAATGTTGAGTGTAAAGATTAGGTGGAATTCTCTGATAATATGAAATATGCTTTTGAATGTTAAGTGAGTGCTTTAGAGAGAAACACCATTTTGTTTCTAATTTATAAGTTTATCTGAATTCTTCCCTCTGAAATAAAAGCCCACATGTTTTTGTACAAATCATTGAAGTAGCTTTTCCAGTAGTAGATTTGAGTAGACACAAATAGACAGAAGGGACTTAGTGCTTAAGCTACTTAGTTTCTGCCAATAAAATTAGTAGTGCTGGTCTTGGGGTGACTGGGGTGCACTAGAGCCTCTGGTTAGGCAAAGAATGGTCAAAGGTTGGTAGGAGGTGGAGTGGCTCCTGTCTGCTATTATGGAAGGTTACCTTCTTTGGGTACAACATACAGGCCACCAACAAAGCAAGATTCCCCTCCCTAGTCCCCCGCCCCTGTTGTTTATTATGAAAAAAATTTAAGCATCTATATTTTTTCTATTCTTTCTGTTTGTTTATTTACTTATTTATTTTTTATTGATTTTAGAGAGAGGAAGGGAGAAGGAGACAGAGGTAGAAACATCAATGATAAGAAAGAATCATTGATCAGCTGCCTCTTGCATGCCCCCTACTGGGGATTGAGCCCACAATCTGGGCATGTGCCCTTGACTGGAATCAAACCCAGGATCCTTTGTTTCCGCAGGCCAGTGCTCTATCCACTGAGCCAAACTGGCTAGGCCTATTCTTTCTACTTTTATATAATAGACCCCTATGTGCCATCACCTGGCTTTAATAGTTCTCAATGTAAGTGCCAGTCTTGTTTCTAACGCATAACTACCCCATAACCCTTGGGTTATTCATAACATAGTAGAGGTCCGGTGCACGGATTCGTGCACATTGAAAGGAAATTAACTAGAAGGTGGCCGGTGGGGTGGGACTGGGCGAGATGGGTTGGCATGCCCTGGAACTAACGTCATGCAGTCCCTCCCGGCCGGCCACACCTGGGGTGGCGTTGGGGCTCAAAGGGCGTCTGCGGAGTGAGCGGGGCCCCTCCGGCAGGTGGGGTTCTTCAGCCTGGCCTGTGGGGATTGGGCTGAAACCGGCAGTCTGACATCTCCTGAGGGGCCCCGGAGTGCGAGAGTGCACTCTGCAAAGTTGCTGTCGTTCGGCAGCTCCTGTGTTGAGCGTCTGCCCCTGGTGGTCACTGCACATCATAGCTACCAGCGGTTGGCTAGTCGGCTGGTCGCTTAGGCTTTTATATATATAGATACTCTCTTATAATTACCAGCTATTTACCTTTTCTGCTGCACTTCATTCCTTCCTGAATATCTGACTTAAAATATGGTGTTCTTCCTGAGAAGTCTGAAGTACTTCTTTTAGTATTTCTTGTAGAGCAGGTCCGATAGCATTGTATTCTCTGTTTTTGTTTATGTGAACATATTTTGATTTTTGCCTTAGTTTCCCCATCACCACCTTGAATATGTCATTCTAATGTCCTGTGGCATCCAGTGTTTCTGAGCCAGCTCTTTCATCATTGTCACCCTGTATGTAATGTGTCATTTTATCTTTTAAAAGTTTGACTGTGATATACATAGGTGTGGTTTTCTTTTCTGTTTGTTCTTCTTGGTCTTGAGCTTGTTAGATCTGTAAGTTAATATTTTGACTAAATATGGGAAGTTTTCAACCACAGTTTATTCAGATTTTTTTTCCTGTCTCTCTCTTTTGCATGTATGTTAGATTGCTTCTCATGATATTGTCCCATAGGTGATTTTTATGAAGCTTTATTAATTTTACTGTAATCTTTTTTCCCTATATTTTTATTACATAACTAGAGGCCCGGTGCACGAATTCGTGCACCAGTGGGGTCCCTCAGCCTGGCCTGTGGGATTAGGCTGAAATCGGCTCTTCGACATCCCCTGTGGGGTCCTGCATTGCAAGAGGGCACAGGCCAGGCCAAGGGACCCCATCGGTGCACAATTGGAGCCAGGGAGGGATTGTGGGAGGGTGCTAGGGTGTGTTTGGCCCATCTCGCTTAGTCCTGATCAGCCAGACCCCAGCAGCAAGCTAACCTACTGGTTGCCCCCTGGTGGTCAGTGCACATCATGGCGACTGGTCGACCAGTCGACTGTCTGCCCCCTGGTGGTCAGTGCACATCATAGTGACTGGTCGACTATCTACCCCCTGGTGGTCAGTGCATGTCATAGGAGCGGTTGAGCGGCCTTAGAATATCATTAGCATATTACTCTGATTGGTTGAACAGCTGACTGGGCACTTAGCATATTAGGCTTTTATTATGTAGAATTTCTATTCATCTGTCTTTTACTTACTGCTTTTTTCTTCTTCTGCTATCTCCCATGCTTCTTAAGCTATCTGGTGGATTTTTCATGGAACCTATCATTTAAGTTATACTTTTCAACTGTAGATTTTCCATTTGTTTTTTTTTTTACACTTCATTTCTCCATTGAGATTCCCTATTGCTTTATTGTGTGGATGTACCATAGTTTATTCAACTAGCCTCCTACTGGCTCCTTGAAGTCTGCTTTGAATCAGCAAACTGTCTTGCCATTCTTCCACTTGTAAATATTGTTCAGAAAAGGGTTATATTTCATTACAGAAGTAAACTGGAATCTAAAAAGTATTGGGTCTAAAAATATTACATATTTTGTATGTATTTATCATAAAAGTCACTTGAATAATAATCCTGATGATTTAAATATTCTTCCTTTTAGGTTGTGCATTATGTGTGACTCTTCCAATGAGTTTATTAAACTTTTACAAGTAAGTATTTCATTTTGTAATTGGATAAGAAATTGTTATTTAGATGAATTTTAAGATCTCTCCTTTTGGAATCTGGATATTTTGAAAAGGTTGTGAAATCTGTATTTTGAATCTAGAAGGAAATTAGGATAATTTAGTATATTTATGATGGCTTGTGTAGTCACTTCAACCATAGCACAAAACTACTTGTTCTTGTTCTTTTGCTACAATTTTAGGCTCACCAAACAGTCTTCTAATTTGCCATTTTTTGTGTGAGTGAATCCACAGGAAGGTATTCCTATTGAATATGGATGCATTTAGATAAATTTTTACTGATTTCAGAAAGGAAGGGAGAGGGAGAGAGAGAAACATCACTGATGAGAGAGAATCATTGACCAGCTGCCTCCTGCACACACCCCACTGGGGATGAGCCTGCAACCCTGGCATGTGCCTCAACCCGGGAATTAAACCATGACCCTCCTGGTTCAGAGGTTGATGCTCAACCACTGAGCAGCCACACTGGCCGGGCTGATATGTTTACATTCTGTTTTATAAATTGATTATCTCTAAGTTTACTTAGCATGATCATAAAAAACACACACATGAAAACTTCTGAACTTGTATAGTTTAGGACCAAACTCTAGACCTCTGCTGGGCTCTTCTAAAATAGCATTATATAGAATTCCTGCCTGGGGAGATGGTAGGCTTTGGGAGGGGAGTTGCCCAAGGGGAGTTTCATTTTTCTGACCTAGGCACTTCCCCACCCTGTATAGCCTCACTGAATTTCTTTTTGTGACCTGAATATATTCCGCTCTTTCCTTCCTCAGTAGTTTTGCTCTTGCTGTTTCCTCTATTTGAAAACTTTCTTGTACTTCCTCCTTCATCCTTCAGCTCTCAAAGCTGTCTGCAAAATCCTGTCCATGTCAAGCTAAGCTCTATGAATCTTCCCTGTTTATTGCAGAGTCATTCATAGAAACCATAAAATTTAAAGCTCTGAAGGCCACAGAGATTATTTGAGTCATTTCTTCCTCATCTTCTAAAGGTGCGGTCTTGATTGGGCAACATCTTGGCCAAGGGCATGCAATCAGTGGCAGAACCAGGGCTAGAATTTGGGGCTCTGTTCAGATGAGCAAACGTGCCTAGAGATGCTAGAGTGCTATCAGCAGTCTCATTTCAGAATCTTCCAGGTGAATTATTTCTCACTTTAAGCTCTGTTCACTGTGAGGTCCTCTTATAGTATTGCTTTATGTTCATTTTCTTTTTCCTATTAGAATATAATCTCAAAGAACAGCGATTTTCAACCTTTTTTATCTCATGGTACCCATAAACTAATTACTAAAATTCTCCAGCACACCAAAAAAAATATTTTTTTGCTGAGCTGACAAAAAAAAAAAGAGGTATAATTTTGATTCATTCACATCAGACGGCTATTGTTGTGTTGTCTGTTGTCTTTTTTTTTTTAACTTTTAAAATGAATTTATTGGGGTGACATTGGTTAATAAAATTATATAGGTTTCAGGTTGTCACTTAAAAAATATATTTTTTTTATTGATTTCAGAGAGGGAGAGAGAGAGAAATATCAATGATGAACCCTCCTACAAAGGTGTGTCTGTGGTTCCGTCTTTGGACACATAAGAACTGGAGGCAAAGAAATGTGGGCTTGGAGAAGTCTGGAGCCAGCTTGCTCCCTGCAGGCTCAAGATCAACCATCCCACACAGGGGGAAAAAAAGGAAATATCAATGATAAGAGAGAATCATTGATCGGCTCCTCCTGCACACCCTACACTGGGGATGAAGCTCCCCAACCCAGGAATTTGCCCTGACAGGGAATCGAATGGTGACCTCCTAGTTCATAGGTCGACACTCAACCACTGAGTCATGCCAGCCGGGCAGGTTGCCATTTTTTAATTTGACAACCTAAGGGAAAAGAGGTCAGTGCCCCTGACTAAATAGCCAGGTATCGTATGTTTTAAAAATTCTTGTGGCACACCCGTGGAAAATCACTGTCATAGAACAAAGACCACGTTTTTTTCATCTTCACATTCCAGGTGTAAAAATGGGACTAGGTCAGAAGTTCTAGTCCTGGCCTTGCCACTTGGTAGCAAGCTATGTAAATTTATTTATTAAAATATATTTATTTATTGATTTCGGAGAGGAAGGGAAGAGAGAGATATGGAAACATCAATGATGAGAGAGAATTGTTGATCGGCTGCCTCCTGCACACCCCCTACTGGGGATCGAGCCCGCAACCCAGGCATGTGCCCTTGGCCGGAATCAAACCTGGGACCCTTCAGTACGCAGGCTGACGCTCTATCCACTGAGCCAAGTCGGCTAGGGCAAGTTATGTAAATTTAAATTCTCACATCTTCACTTAACCTGTCTGTTAAAATGGGGTTAATAATGTTGATTGTTACCTATGCCATAGGACTGTGGTGAGTATGAAATTAGGGAATAAGTCTGAAAGTACATTAAAACTATAAAATACAAGGATAATATAAGTTTTATACGTAATAATGTTCTTTGTATTACTTGATTTTTTTTTTCCAGAAGCTATAAAAATAACAGCTTGAAACACAATTCGATCTATGAAGCTCTGGTCCCCTTCTTTTCTCCATGTTTGCTATTCATTTTGTCTACAGCCTGGATTCTCCAGTCACCTTCCGATATTTTAGAGATGCATCCTAGAGTATTCTACTTTATGGTTGGAACAGCCTTTGCCAATATCACAGTAAGATTTTTTCTTTTAAAAATCTTAATATATATAAGGACTATATGACAGTTGATAATTTGAGAAACCTTATACAGATTAGAATAAGCAGATATTAATTTAAAGATATTGTCATTCAAAATTTGAGAAAATAATAACCTCAAAGGCAGAAATTATTTTTTTCCTTTGAAACCAATAGGATTTAGAGACGGCAGTAGTATTTTGGAACCATAGCGTATTTGAGCTTTTTGTTTTGGTTGCCTGCTGAAGAATTCATGGAATAATTTTAAATTCCTTTCAGACTGTAAAAATTAACAGTGTCATTGAAATGGCTATAGATCTAATGATTAGTTTAGGGAGCTTGAAACGGGTTTTTGCGAGAGAGAAAACACATCATACACATACCCCCACACATTTTTTTAACCAACTGATTTTTAAATTAAGGACATGGGATTATAAACTAGGTAACAAATACAGCATATTTTTAAAAATTAGGAGTTGAGAAAAGACCCTGATAGTTATGGAAGCCGGGAACCCTGTGCTCCTGCTCAGGCCAGGTCCTTAATAAGTTTTTTTATTTTCTAAGCCACTGAGCTTACATTTCCATGTATTAAAGTATTTATGAATGAATAAAGCTGTATTTGAGTAAGGTGTTGAAAGTAAAGGGAGCCAAAGAGGTTTGAGGTGTTAATATGATAATATGAGAAATTTAGTTGTGTGGGAGGCCGTTTTGAAAAAAAAAATTTTTTAAGGTCACAAAGAGTCTTAAAATTGGGAGAAACTTTTACCCACACTATTATCTAGTGGAAGAATGCCTTCTGTGGCATCCTTTCTACACTCCGGACATGCACGTGGTCTGCGGGTCCACAGGTTTGAAGGTTGGGGGCAGAGATCCAGTTGGCCGCTGCTCTGATCACTGGGACTGCTGAACTTAATGTAATGTGAATGTGTTGGCTCGGGTACTTGAATCCTTCTTAAATGTTGGTGTGACAAGTTTTGGAAGTGTTTTGCTAATTAAATTTTATCTCCCCCCCCGCTTTTTTTTTTTACTAACTTCAAGTGTCAGCTGATTGTTTGTCAAATGAGCAATACCAGATGTCCAACTTTGAATTGGTTGCTGGTTCCTCTCTTCTTGGTTGTCGTGGTGGTAAACTTAGGAGTCGCCTCTTATATTGAGAGCATTCTCCTATATACAATAACAGCTGCTTTCACTCTGGCCCACATCCATTATGGAGTACGAGTGGTGAGTAATTGAGAATGAAACTGGTTCCATTTGGTTCTTAGGAAAAGAAAGAAAGTGAGAGAAAATTGTAAATGCAAGTTTGCTTATTTAGTAGCTAGGAGAATTTTGGTATATTCTCTAAATGTTTTATAATATCCAGGTGTGTCATTTTAAATATTGTTTCTCTAATGAGTATGTTATAATAACTACAAATAATTTAAAAGCTGGATAATTATAAGGAGTCAGTTCTTGTTTTTAAGCTGGTAGAAATGTAAAACATTCTCTTGTTGAATAGAATTATAAACTCCTTTGTGCTTTTAATTATATAGGATGAGATGATCCCATTTGTTGATTATTTCTCTGCACACTTTAGCTCTAGGGGCATTTTTATTGCTCGTTACTATAATTTCGAGAGAAACTGGAATTGGTTTTGTAGCACTGTCTCCTTCTCTCCTCCCCCTGCATGTGGTAAGGAGGTTAGAACTTCTGATGTAAGGCTTTTGCATTATTTGAAGTTTTACTTTATCTATGCTGTTTCTGAGTTCTCATCAAGAGAAATAATAAATAAGGGGAAATAGAGAAGAGAAAGGATTTAAGAAACATTATGCAAACCATAACATTCTCTTCTAAAAATAAGAGACCAATCTTGTCTCTGGTTCAAGGGACCTGGCCCTGAGCGGGTCTGCCAAGGGCCGGCACGTAGTGTGGCTTATTGACCTCATCTGGGGAAAATGCCACAACACGAGTCCAGGTGACTGTGAGGGAACCTTTATTAAAGCTGGGGACAGTGAAACAAAGAAGGGCTTCTTAGTGTAGAAGAAGCAACAGGAGAGCCTAGGCTGGGCTCTAGTAGCTCTCCGGGAAACCAGAGAAAAGGGGACTTGGGAACAGGTTGAGGGTTATCCTGGGGTGAACTGCCGCTGCCCATTGCTCCCTAGGTTATAATCCTCCTGGGGTCCCTTCAAGTTTAGGAGATACGTGCCTTTGCGGGGAGAGAGGAGGGGAGAAGAGAGGAACGGGAATGGGGGGAGCTGCTCCCCAGAGGGAGAGCTAGGTCCTTTGTCTTGAGGCTTTTATCTCTTTCTTGCAGGCGGGAATCTCAGGGGAGGGTTTCAGCAGAATAATATTCATCCGTTTTCTAGGTGTGCTCCTTCAGGGTCATGGTCTTCACTGATTGGTCATTGTCAGGGCCGGGGGTCATTGGTCTTTGCAGCTGGTCCTGGATTCTCCCACAGGTTTTGCTGCTTTTTGGGCCTGGAGCTGAAATACCGCTGCTGAGGCCTCGATGTTATGTCTAGGGAGGGACCTTCTGTATCTGCTGTAATTGCTCTGTCAGTTTGTTCGGCTACCTCAGTTTCTCTAGTCTGCTTGTCCTGGCTTGCTGGCCTGTCTCAGTCTCAGGACAAATGAACGAAGATTGATGTAATAAAATGAAAATCAGAACCATGTAGTTTGTTTTCTTTTTCATCACACTTTAGCATTATTTTCTAATTATTTTACATATTTTAGTATGTACATAATTATGATTTTTAAAATAGCATATTCTGTCAAGGAAATTGCTAAATAGTAACCCAATTTACTTAATTATGATTCAGTTATTTTAATCATTTAGGTTGTTTCCAAATTTTCACTATTATAAATAACGTTGGCGTGAACAATCTGGAGTAATATTTTTTCTTTCATTGGCTTTATTTTCTGAGGATACTTTCATAGGAGTGGGGTTATGTAGAAGGCTAGTCACACTTTTATGTCTCTTAAAACTCTTCTATTTAGTATGCTTGTTTGGAAAGGAACCCTGCTGTGAATCAATTTGAGAAAACAATAATATATTGTTGTTCATAGTTATCAAGGGGGTGCACCTGTCATGCTTGATAACAACTTTATACTTTGCATGTTATTAAACTTAGGCTTTTTTCCCTTATGTTTCTCCCCAAAGTAGCCCATGTTTGTTGGGACAAAATTGATGAAATTGTTATGGAAAAAAATCAGGATAACTCTACAAATTATAATATGAAGACATAATTGTCTATGTTTTTATTTGTGCAAATTTAACATTATGTTATATAGCAGCACTTGTAGGCCTTTATCCTGGTATTTCATCAGGCACCTGCATGATGGGGAACACAGTTGCCAATGTTTTTATTTATATATATATATATATTTTTTTTTTTGATTGATTTCAGAGAGGAAGGGAGAGGGAGAGAGAGAGAAACATCAATGATGAGAGAGAATCATTGATTGGCTGCCTCCTGTACGTCCCCCACTGGGGATCGAGCCTGCAACCCTAGGCATGTGTCCTGACTGGGAATTGAACCATGACCTCCAGGTTAGAGGTCGATTCTCAGCCACTGAGCCACACTGACCAGGCTGCCAATATCTTTTGTAATTGTTTTAATTTATTATACCCCTTCAGAAGCATATCTTCAGAAAATCATACATGCACCAAACCAAACCAAAACACATTTTTATTTAAATTTCCTTTGTTAAAAATCTGGAAAATAGATACAAGCTAATTGAAAGAAATTACAGGAGTGTCTTTTCTTTGTTGGTCTTTGTGTTCTCTTACCACTTCTGCAACTTCTGACCAGAAAGTGAAACTTGCTCTAAGTCATACAAAACATTCACCCAAACTATTGAAATATAGGTAATACAAATAAGAAAAGAAGTAAGAACTATCAAACAAATGATATTTACTAACTGGCACATAACCAAGATCTTGCAAACCTATTAGTGATACCCTAACTCAGTGGTCGGCAAACCGCGGCTTTCGAGCCACATGCGGCTATTTGTCCCCTTGAGTGTGGCTCTTCCACAAAGTATGCGTGCACGTACAGTGCGATTGAAACTTCGTGGTCCATGCGCAGAAGTCGGTTTTCGGAAAGGAGGTAGATGAAACAAGTATACAAGACGAGTGTGGATGGGAGAGTTGGAAGGGGTCGACCTCAGTGAACGTACCTCAATCAGATTGAGGACGTTTTTAGCAAAGGCCAGCTTAGGCGTACCCTAATTAAGTTACTAACAATGTACCTACCTATTTAGTTTAAATTTAAAAAATTTGGCTCTCAAAAGAAATTTCAATCGTTGTACTGTTGATATTTGGCTCTGTTGACTAATGAGTTTGCCGACCACAGCCCTAACTAATATGTCCTAAACCTCCCAAAATGTGTACAGATCTAGTTTTAAACTCTTTCATCAGGATTAGGAATGATTACCTAGAAATGTTATAAAAAGCTGAATATTGAGTCTCTCTCTATATAAATATTTGACCTATTAGCTGGTTTAAATCAACTAACCCTATAATTCTTCAGTAGATTTGATGTGAATCTGTATGGTCTGGAGGGCTCTGGAAAGACTAGAACTATGGAGACCCAGGTTTAAGTCCTAACTCTCCCAGGATAGATCTAGTACTCTTATTTAGCCCTCAAGGTTCATAGCTATACTAACCCAGAAAAAACTTCATTATGTCTGATGATTTTTGCTGTGTCAGTAAATTGTTGTCTTCAGAGGGTGAATTCTGTGTGCTTTAAAAAAAATAATTAGGGGCGGGGGCGGTGGGGAGGGTGGGCGCCGCTCGTGCGCAGGGCCGAAAAAAAAAGAAAAAATTAGGTCCATATCGGTCACTGCCTCCTTTTCTGGTTTTATATAGGTAAAGCAACTGAGCAGCCATTTTCAGATTTACCCGTTCTCATTGAGGAAACCCAACTCAGATTGACTAGGAATGGAAGAAAAGAACATTGGCCTGTAATCTACAGAAAGAAGTACTGTAAATACGATGCTTGTAAATATTTCATCTATCACCATTGGACTAAACTGATCTGCTTAACAGACATGGGAACTCTGTGTGTGGTACTTGTACAGCAAGAATGATATATATAATCTGAAATGTGGAATTTTGAACCTACTAACTCCCATCTTATTTTATTTTTTATTAAACCATGTGATGTTTTGGTGAAGCCTAATGTACATTAGACCAGCAAATGTTTTTTAGTGATTTTAACCTCATGAGTCCATAATGTTTTTGGTTCATACAGAGTTAAAAATGCTTTATTTTTATTATTTAAAACACCCCCAAATTGGTTTAAAACACTGATGATGTTCAGAAAACCACAATATGTTTTCATATTTGGTACTTAGTAAGAGGCCGTTGGCTCTGGAAGCTATCAGTAGTCCACATCCAACATCAGGAAGAGAGAAGAGCAAGTCACCTTCAGCAAGAGATGCCAAATGATTACAGAACAATATGACGGTTTGCCAATATACTGGTTTCTCTTTCCCATGGAAATGCCTTTGTCCTCCTGTGCTAAGAGAGCTAGGATATATGTTTAGATTCTCTAATACTCTGGCTCTCTTTGTTAGGGAGCAGAGCGTGGTAAATGGTTTAGTTTCCTTTTAAAGGAAAACATTCTATTGAGACTCAGTAGAGAGTGGATTGTAACTGTAGCTCACCCATGGGCATGGTTCATTGTTTCAGTGTGGCATTTCCCACCTCAGCTATAGTTGCTGAGATTTGGTGCCTGAGAACTGATTAAGTGAATGCATGTGCCAGTGTGAGTCTGATGGTGGTGACTTGCAAGGAGCACAGGTGAACTTCCTTCTTGGAGAAATGGACTTTGGAGTCAGGGTTCTCACGAGCCTCACTATGAAATGACTGCTGTGAACCTACTACAAAGTTAGTTTTGTAATTCAGTTTGTCCTTCCTTCCTTCCTCTCTGCCTGTGGAGGAGCGAGTGCTATATTTTTTATTTTATTCAGGATAAAGAAGAAGAGAGAAACCCTCTCTTCTCCAGCTTGCCCACCTTCCCACTTGAAGAAATTTTTTTAATATATGCCTTACTGAGTATGTATTCTCTTTAATAATTCCTGGAACAATTTTTGAGGTTTACGGACAAGCATCAAAATCTCTTTGACTTTAATGTGGTTGTTCGCTAGATCACACCTTTCCGTGAATGTAGATATTTTCTTCTTCTTCTTCTTCTTTTTTTTTTTACTTTGTCTCCATTTACTTTGGTGGTGGTGAAATTTACTCCCTGATTTTCTTTTATTTTTCACTGAATGAAGTTTGTGCTTGAATGAAGAGTGTATCTTAAACCCTTTTTTTGGATGGATTGCACTTGGATAAAATAGGCACCACTGTGTTGATATGTAATTAAGTTCATAACCATTATTTATCTAGGAATGTGACCATTTTAAAATTTAATTATATAGTGTATTTCTTGGTTGAATGTCTGTCTGCTGCTTTGTAAAAATAACTATGTAATTGATATTTCAGTTCCTAAATTTGCAAATTCTAATTGTCATCTAGGTCATTAGACATGAAGAGTCAAAGAGCTGATCTCATGGTTCTGTACTCATTTTTAAAAATGTTTGTAAAGGTTGAGGTATATTCAGTGACTTTCTCTGAAACAGAAATGAACACCGAAAATAGGTGAGAAATTGATGCTGGAAAATGTGGGTAGTGATTCCATGTTTGTTGATAAGTTGTCATCATAGAGGTCAGAGAATGAATTAGTTAAGTGAGGGGAATGCTCTTTTCAGTAGACCTTGTTCTGTGTCATCTGTAAAATTGAACTGGAGAAAGTGTTCTCTTGGGCCGGGAACAGAGCTTTGCTTCAAGGTTTCTGAGCTAATCATTTCACTGTTTTGTTGACCTTGTACACAAGAACGAGGTTCATCTGTCCTAGCTCAGAAAGGAACTGATAAATATTTATAAAATGATACATTTGGACCACAGGCTTTCTTCACCTTCTAGTATAGTGAGAAAATACCTCTTACTTCTGGCATAAGGTCATGTCCTGTCATTTGGGGGCTATTACCTCAAAGTGTGTTTCTGCTCTCTTTCTGTTGCATCAAGTTCGTTTGGAAATTGTTTTGTGCCTATACTTTATGACTTATTTCCCTGTGGTGGTAAAGAATGGTGCCATCGTCATTTTTTTTGACATCCTTAGATGAAAGAAAGGTGACTGTCAGCAAGGTGAATGTGAAACTGTGATGAACGGTCTCAGAACATCGTGAACTGTGTTTCTGGAGTGTACTGCTGACTCGTGTCCTTGGTGTAGTCGGCCATCTTCAAGTGCATCTTGAAAGTCCCCATGTGTTAGGTAGTGATGGGGTGCCTGAAGCAGGACTTAGTTACAAGTAGCTCTGTGCATTTATGTCATGCCAATTATCACGACATTTCCAAAGTATAAAAGATATTTCAGGCTTATGCATGATATTTGGGGTGAGTTCACACCTCAGCCTTTCTCCCAGCATACACTGAGCTGCCTTTTGGGGGAGCAGTGGGATGGTTGGTCACCCCTACATGCTTTCAGTACTTTTCAGAATAGAGTGCCTTAGCCAGGCCAGAGGTGTACTTTGTGTTTCTACTGACCAAAGTTACCTAGACCTGTAAGAGAAGCTTCTTTTCAGGTTACGGTATGAAAAATGCCCTTTCTTGCTTGTCAGAAAAGAATTCCCCTGTATTTGAGGGGGGGGGGGAGGGGCACAAGATAGAAAAATTAGAAAATACCTGGATACAGAATGTTAATGCTGCCTTTTGTGAACTTTAATAACATGATCTTCACAATTTAAATTTGTTACATTTTAAATCGTCATTTCTCCAATAACATGTAATGAATACAGTTTATGGGTTTTAGTCTTAAGGGTAATAGAGTAACTTCCAAGTAGAAAACTAAATGATCTTCCTTGATATTTAATAATATCATGGTTAATTCTAATTTAATTCTAATTTAAAACTACTTTTAATTCCGATTTTAAAAGAAATGCTGATGATGGTCTAGATTTGTTATGTACTACTACCAACATGTCACTTATTTTAATATAGCGCTATTAGGAGAGGAATGTATCTCTAGAGTTGCCCAAATTCCAAATTAGATACCAAAAGACCATTGACCATGGTCTGGAACCTGGGCATTGGGGGAATATGCAAAGGAAAAAAACATGCGTCAGACCTACTTGAAGGGATAGTAGGGATCACCTTAATGCCTAATGCCCATGGTGCCCAATGGTATAAGTGTAACGCACATTTTAAAATTGTCACAAGATAGCTCATCATCCCTCCACTAATTTTAGATTCAAATGTGAATTTGAAAGTTTCCTAATTGTTTAATTTACAAAGAATTAGCGTATGTTGTAGTCAGTCCTAAAGGATTGGGAGTGTACCTTGCTGTCCAAAGCAGCCTTGGATTCTGTGACCGATGGAGAATGAAAAGATCAACTGGAGGTGTTTGATCAAAGGCCACTTTCCCCCTTACATTTTAACGAGAGGTCTATTTGTAACTCTTCCTCTCCAGCCTTCACCTGGGTTTCATTTCAACTAGCCACTGCCTAGGACAGAGATGCCCACTTGCTGTGTTGCCCCAGATCTTGCCACATTCAGACCTCCTTGATTTGCCTTTAGAAATCTTGTCCATCAGTCAAGGACTGGGAACGTGCCAGAGGGAACAAATAAACCCGATGGGCTAGAACGGTGACGTTGGGTTCCCAAATAAGCCAAAAGCAGGAACAGAAATTTTTGGTGGTGTTGATTCCTCTGTTCGGAGCGGCCTTTACCTTGACCTCAGTTCTGGACTCGCTTGAGCACTCTTGTTGATAGGAAATGTTGAAGCCAGACTAGCATCTTCTTTGTCCTGTGAGATTTCTTTGTGAGGCAGCATGCCCTTTCTTGAACACCCTGTGGGTGAACAACCTTGTTATGTTAGCTGCCAGTACCAGAGCCTTCCAGGAATTTTAACTAGTATGCTGCATTTGAAGCACTTTGACATGTATATTTAAAGTGACAGTTTTAACAATAAAATGGTGTTAAATTAATCACTGTGAAACTCGAAGGTGTGAAGCTCTACATTTTAGGAAGCTGAAGTAGATTCCGATTTTCCTTAATTAATTATGAAATGTGATTTGTATATTTTACTTTTCATCTTGGACAGTGGTTCAGATGACTGACATGTTGGCAGGCAGCTACTGTTAGGGTCTTGGTAAATCATGGTGGTTTAACTTTTCCAGAGAAAGTGGCGATGTGTTTACCTTTTCCTTGCACGGAGCCGTGGGAATTGGGTTTATTGGCTCATTCATTTCCAGTGTTTCTAAGTGCAAAATAAATGTCACCTTTTTAACCTGCATGCTAGTAATGTGCTTTGCTTTTTAGTAAACAAATATGGAAAAGATAGTCATCTGGCTGATTTTTGTTTGTTTTTAAGCGGGGACCTGCTCTTTATACAGACAGACCGTAAGTAGCTCACACTTAGGATAGCAAAGGCAGTTTGTCACTTGTCGCCCTCTCACAGGCGGCCTGAGCAAGGGGGTTGGGTTGCATTTGGTCAGAAGGGCCAGGTCCCCAGGATGGGAAAGTGGTACACGGGTTGGTTTTAGAATATTTTAATCGGGCTCGTCTCCTTAGGGAAGTCCATGTGGCACAACGGGAGTGTCTGGTCCCACAGACCATTCTCATTGCCTTGGTCTTCACAGAATCATTCTGGAAAGCCAGGCTGCATCTGAGTGTGCTGTTTTTAAAGCATGTGAGTGAGTTGGATCATGGCCATAGGGTACCTAAGGCAACATTGAAATTAGAGACAGGTTTGTAGGCACAGGAGTGGCTGAATGCTCTGGGTGCCTAAAGCTCTTTGGCTACCTACTGTCTTCTCTTGAGCAGTTAATATGGGTAGCAATTAAAATTAGGATTAACTTTTTAAAAATTAAATTCTACATAATTCTCCATGAATTCTAGATTCTGGTATTCTTGACAAGCAGTTTTTATTATCTGAGAAGTTCCTGACCAGGAACATGTTTAGTTAGTACTTGCTGTTATTAACCAGGAGCCTGTTTTAATTTTACAAGATCTCTGCATGCTGCATTATAAATCTGTTTATAATACTGGTATCATTCCATATCAGACTTTGAATTGAATAACTACTATTTAAGATTGCCTCACAATATTAACTCTTTTTGGTGGGTTATTTTGTTTTGATAACTTGCCCCATTAGAGCAGCCATACAGGAGACAAAGAGCCAGCTACATGGGTTACTTACTCATTCTGAAATGTGCCAAGAAAGCAGAATTTAATATTAAACTCTAAATTTCAACTTTTAAAAAAACAGGTAGCATTTCCTCTGGTAAAGGAGAAGTCAGTGGATAATCGCCAAGGTGTAGAGGCAGAAACTTCCCACTGCCATTTTCTCCCCTCCCCCCCCCTCCCCTCCCCTCCCTTCTAATATAATAGATTAAATCTGTAACCAATTGCAGAATTGGATGCTTTTCTGAGTATGGTTTCATGCCCTGTGATTAGGAATGGGTGGCAGGAACCATGGCCGAATCAATTACTGTTGCAGTTTGCTTTCTGTAGATTCTGAAACAAAAAGACGGTTCCATCCCTTCTCAGGGACCTAGAGACAATACCACTCAAGCAGCTGGAACATAGTTGCTACAAGTCGAATATGTTATCGAAGAAGAAGAGGAGCACAAAATTTTATTTTCCCTTCCAAGTAGTTTAATTGAACATACTCATAATCGGTCTATCTAGGACTTGCTGTGTTTATAGTAAATCATGTAGCATTTATTTTGTCTGGTTATGTGCGATGTGTGTGTATATATACATAGTTAATATGTACACATGTATTCTCTGTGCATATATATGTATGATCTATTCGTGTGAACATGCAGTCTACTCTTGATTATCAGCGCGGTGGTGAGCCCTCCGTGCACTTCCTGCCTGCTGACTTAATCTGCATGAAGCCCCTCGCTCGGTGAAGCCTCTCCCACCCGCATCTGGAGCCACAGGCTTTCCTACGTCTAGCTTATCTCAGCCCCAGGAAAAGCCCCTTGAAATAGGTCACTTTCCACTTCCCTTTCACCGGGGATCGTGTGAGCCAGGAAGACCGCTTTTGAGAAAGACGGCTGCTTCCACCAGGGTTGAGGCTTCTGGGTCTGAAGGTGATGGGGCCCCTTCCTGGCAGGCAGGCAGCTCTGGGGCTTAGCGCTCCTGGGCCTGATGGGGAGAAACCTAGCTCTTGCAGAAGAATGTTGTAAAATCTTAGATAAGTCTTTGATGTACAGCCGTGTGTTTCACCGATATATTTGCATCATCGGTGTTGCTGTTTCCCATCGCTACCCCAGATAATCAAGACCTGACTGTTTCTTGCCACTGGATTCCGGAAGCCTTGTCCTTTCAGCTGGATTTATGTTTATTTCTGCTGCTGTGAAACCCAAAAGTAATGCAGTAGGTTTTAATTTAAAATTGTTAAATTCCATTATTGATAAATATTTATTGTAATAAAAGTAAAGAGTAAATAATTTTTAAATCCTTTTCGTTTTCAGACTGTCGTCTTTGTTTTTTTCCCTGGTGGGTGCAAAATGGGAGGGAGCGGTGGGGAGGAAATGAATGTCTGGCCACTTGTGTTAGTCATCACTCACTGTTTTATAGCAAAACATTAAGAGGAGATAGGAATAAACCAAAAAATTACGTAAATGTTTGATGAACCCCTAAACCCCAAATAAGGGGTCTTGGTGTACCTTATGGATATAGAATTAAGAGTGGGATTTGACTTAGTATGTTAAAATGTAATCAGCATAGCATTCTTTCTCTGCAAAAAGATTATAAACTGAGGTAGATGGCCAGCCTGTGGCATAGCGGAGGAAGCCTGCCTTATCTTTATCACCCAAAACTTACCCAGGCATGGGGATGCCATGCCCAAAGGACTCGAACTATTGAGTCTGTGTAAAGTCATACCCATATGGGCCCCTGAGTTCATTATAGCCACTTGTACATCAGAAGAGCTTGTCTGCGTTGGCCTTGTCATAATTGCCTCTGAGTTGAGTAGTCAGTACCGTGTGACAGGTGAGAAAATGACCCTCAAGTAGTTGTGACTTATCCGAGGGTACAGGGCGGGTCTAGGACTAGGACCTGCCTTTTCTCACTACAGGCCCCTTGCGGAGTTTCCCACAGGCCAGTGGATCGAGTCCCTGTCAAATGTTAAAGTTTTTAAAAAGCGTTTTAATTCCCAAAAAGAACGCTATTTGGTTGACATTGAAACAAAAACCAGCCAGGAAATAGTCCTTTTTCAGGGGACGGTGCTTCCTTGAGAGTTTAAGTCTGTTCTGTACCCCCTGGTACCGTTTCCCCCTGCTCCCCCTTTTCTCTTTCTGTAAGGTGGCGCTGGTGGGATTGCCCCCGGTTTTAGCCCTACTGAAAACAGCTACAGAAGACAGTAATCCCTTGTTGGATAAAACTTTATTGATAGGATGGGGTCTCACATTCTAGAGGAGAAGCGGAGGGGCCCATGCACAACGTAGGAGCTCAAAAATGAATAAATGGACGCAATATACATCAGTTCAAACTTTCCAGTGAGGCAATAAGCTCAGAGTGGACCTACCATAAGGTAGCTTCTACGAGGAAAGGACCATGCCCATCAGGTGCTCAGTAATATTTGATGAATATGATTTTGAGGAATAGCCATTTGATGGTGAATGAATGATGAATGAGTCATGAGGGTCAGTAAGCATGAGCCACAACTTGGTCCAGCTCTTCAGTCTCCCAATCTGCTAATATGACTGGTCCTTTGTAGAGAGGAATAAAAGGCCCAAAGCTGGGACGCCGGGGCTGAATGGCGGTGGGCGGGGCCTGAGCTGCGCACGCCATCTCCAGCGGCTGGTCAGAAGACGGCTTTACCTTGGCAACGACTTGTTGTTAGCAACCGGCAGCGGTCCAGCGTTGGTCCCCGCCGAGCTGCCTGGGGGAGGCACCCGCCATGAATCCGCCGGTCCCCCTGGGGATCCTGGAGGATAAGGAGGAGGAACACTTAGCCACTCAGGTTCTCGGACCCTCGATCAATTCCGATAACCCGCAGGAGCGGATCCAGGCCCGGCGCCTCCGCATCGCGGCGCGCCTGGAAGCCCGGAGACGGTGAGCAGGGGCTGGGCTGGCCTTGGCAAAGCGCCTCGGGTGTTACAGGGGCAATGAGGGGGAGAGGAAGGGGTGCTAGGAGTGGGGTGCTGCCAGGGCAGGAGCCCTCTGCAGTGAGGGGCCGGGGTGCCCCAAGGGTGAGAGGGCCTTTAAATTTTTTTAAAAAAAATTTATTTATATTAGAGAGAGAAAGGGAGGGAGAACATCATCTCTTGTTCCAACTATTCATGCATTCATTGATGGATTTTTGTTTGTGTCTTGATCAGGGGTCAAACCGGCAACCTTGGCATATCTGAGCATGCTTTCACCAACTGAGTTTTAACCCCCTCGGCCAGGGCAGAGGGCCTTGTTTCTTGATAGAAAACGTTCATTCCAGAAAGTTGAAGCAAAGTATGGGATATGAAAACATTGAACACACTAGTACAGTTAAAAACAGAAATAGCAATCCTTGCAACGCTTTCACTGGGAGCCGGGTGCAGCCGGCACTGTGGGCAATACACTGAAATGCGGGCGATCCAGGACCTGCCCTCGGAGGTCTGTCTCCCCTCACAGCCTGTCTGCTTCCCCAAGTATCAACCCAGTGGACCTCAGCCACCCCTTCTGCTGGCCTCAGCGCCTTACCTGTCTGTGTGACCCACGCTCATTCCTGAAGCACCTGAGACTGATAGCCTTATACCTTCAGGCCAGGTTGCCACACCGATCCCCTCACAGACACAGTGGACTGTTAGAGAGGGTAGAAGAAGAGGCACCTGCAGTCCCTGAATTGCTGTTACCCTCCCCGTGTAACAGCATCATACTTTGTCCTGCTGGTCAGGGTCAGCTGCCCCCCTAAGATGATGACTTCCCTTCTTGTCTGCTGCCTGTTGGACACAAGCGGCCCAAAGTCATGTGGCTGCGTTCCAACAAAACTTCAGTTACTGGGCACTGAAATGTGAATCTCATACAATGTTTGTGTCCCAAAATTTCCATTATATTTGATTTCCCCCCTAGATTAATAAGCTTCGTTTCTTTTAGAGCAGTTTTAGGTTTACAGAAAAATCAACTGGAAAGTATAGAGCATTCTCACATACCTTCTGCCCCCACACATGCATCACCTCTCCCACGATCACATCCCCCGCCAGAGTGGTACCTTCGTTACAACTGATGAACCTTAATGGACATGTCATTGTCAGCCAAAGTCCATACTTTACGTTGTGATTCACTCTTGGTGTTCTGTGGATTTTGACAACTATATAAAGACAAGTATCCACCATTACAGTACCATACAGAATGGTTTCACTGTGGTCTGCCTATTCACCCTCATCTTAAAAACAACCCCAACACTCTTAAACATGTAAAAATTATTCTTCACTTGTGAGCCATACAAAAACAGGAGGGTCAGATTTGTTCCATAGGCCCTAGTTTGCCAACCCTGGTGTGACAAATCACTGTAATGTTCTGTGGGATATGGATAGTTCTGGCTTATTCAGACTATATTTTCACAGAGATCAGGAGTACTAACATTGCCCTGTGAGTATGAGCAGGTATTATTGTCAACCTTTTAAAACCTTTCTAGTCTGATAGGAGAGTAATGATACCTCACAGGGTTTTCAATTTCATTTCTCTGCTTATATGTGAAGTGGAACATCTTTTTTAATGTCTATTGGCCATTTGTATTTCTTTTGTGAATTAATTGCCTGTTCACATTCTTTGCCAATTTTTCTATTTGGTATATTGTCTTTTTTTTAAAATATTGATTTGAAGGAGGCTTTCCTATTTTATAGAGAGCAAAGCTTTTTCAAATATCTTTTACCAGTTTATCCTTTGACTTTCAAGGATAAAATTAAAACATTTTAGGAAGTAAAATCTTTCAGCCTTTTTTTCGAACTTTGGCCTTATTCTCTCCCCTTTATATAAATTTACTTATGGTGTTTTAGGATTATGTTTTTTAATATCTAAATTATTAACCATATGGAAAGTTTTTTTGTATGTCGTGTGAATTCCCATGGAACCTTTGCATATAGAACTTAAGTACTAGAAATAACTTCAGTTTCTTGGTTCTTTTCCATCACAGGGAAGCGCTTGGAGAATATTTAGATGGGAAGAAGGAGAGTGAGGAAGATCAAAGCAAGAGCTATAAACAGAAAGAAGAAAGCAGACTGGTATGGACTGGGCAGTGAATGGGTTCTTCAGCCCTGTGAGGCTAGATGGCCGGGTGTGATGTCATGGTTTCTGTAGTTATTTTATTTACTTATTTTTTAATCCTCACCCGAGGATATTTTTCCACTGATTTTCAGAGAGAGTGGAAGAGAGAGGGAAAGACAGATAGAAACATCAGTGTGAGAGAGAGACATGGATTGGTTGCCTCCTGCATGTGCCCTGACCAGAGCCCAGCCTGAGGTACAAGCCCTTGACTGGAATTGAACCTGGGACCCTTCAGTGACCCTGGGGCAAGTCTATCCACTGAGCCAAACCGGTT